CCAGAGCAGAGCAGCAGGGGTCTCAGCCACCCCCGTGCCAGCCCTACACGACCCTGCCCTCCCTACACCAGGCTGTGGCCCCACGGGAACAGCCCCATCCTGAAGCGTGGGGCAGGAAGGAGCTGTTTTCACTCCCAGCTCAGCAGGGGACAATGAGTGACAACAGCTCCTTCCTGCCTCCCCTCCTCCCCGGGGCAGCCAGCCAGCACCCTTCCTGCAGGGACGGACATGAGGGATGTGGAGCCCCAGCCAGGCAGGAAGGATGCCTGTGCCCGCACAGTGACCTGCCAGGCAAGGTAATGCCACGCACCCCAGCTGCTGGGGACAGCCACCACCACCAGCTGCGGGCTGAGCCACGTCCCCCAGGTGGCTTTTCCTGGACAAGCATGCTACATGATCTTTTTTTTGTATCAGTCCTGTCCCACCCCGTCCAAGACCACTGGAGCCAGCACAGCACCTACTTTCCCAGCAAGCACCCGACCCAGAGCTGGATGCAACATGTGGCACCCACCCCGGGAGTCCCCATCGGGCACAGGAGCTCAGCTACCCGGGGGCTGGACACTGAGCATCCCTGATGGACAGCATCCTGCCCGCACCCGCATCCCCAGAGGAGCGAGGGCAGCCGGCTGCAGCCAGCACTGCCGATTCAGCAGTCACGGTGCCGGGCAGGAGCGATTTGCAGCACCGCAGGACAGAGCAAGGTTGGAGGCGGCACCTGCCCCAGGAGGGCGGCGGAGCAGCGGTCACGGCCAGCCTGAAGGACACGGACGGGACCGCGTCTCCACGCTGCTGCAGCCACTGGGCCAGGGCGTGTGTCCTTACAGCTGGGACCGTCATGCACGGTGGGACTCCCAGCCGGCACCGTGCCCCCGGCTTCGCTCACAGCAAAGGGAAGAGGCTGGCCCAAGCGAGGCAGCAGGATCAGAGCCGCAGGGCCTGGTTGGGGCCGCTCCACACGGGCAGGCATGCCTGGCAGCCTTGCCCAGGTAGGCAGGGGCTAAGCCTCGTCTATTTATTGCTGCCACCCAGCCGGGCCCCGCAGACTCTAATCACCTCCCGCCGCTCTATTCCTGGCCCCTTGTGCAACCTTCTGCCCCTGCCCGCCATGGCAGCACCGCCGGACAGGTCTGGCCGCTCACTGCGCCCGGACTCGAGCCAACAGGATCTGGCTGGCAGCCTGCCTACCTCCCCTCCTGCCCTGTCCCTGCAGCCCCATGCCTGCAGCCTGCAGCTCAGCCCCCCCTGCGGTGCCCTGGTGCGGGGACCCCCAGGCAGGAGGCTGTGCCCCGGCTTGCTTCCTGCCCAGCTGGAGCCCCAGGGAGAGCCAGGCAGCCCCAGCCGGCGGGTCCTGGAGGCCAGCCCAG